GTGTTCGGCTCGGTGTCTTCGCTTGATAAGTTAACGAGCCGAACACGAACAAAGATGTGTTCGTTCGTGCTCGGCTCGTTTTGGCTCGAAATACTACTCATCAAGTTTATATATATATATATGAGGAGTATTTTAAAAAAATCTAATTTACTACAAGGCTAGGAAGATTTATAATTAATTAAAATACTAATTAAGAAAATAGGATAAAAATTATTAAATTAGATTCAAATGATGTTTTAATATAAATAATAATTTTTAAATCTTGTTCAAACCCTTAATGTCTTATGACTATGTGATTAAGGTTGTCAAAACGACACTTTGTTCGTGAACAGCTTGTGTTCTACTCGTTAAGCCGACTCGTTAAGCAAACGAGCCGAACACGAACACACTTTTTGAGCTCGAAATATAGATGAGGGCTCATTTACACCCTTAGGACCAGTCATTTTGGCTTGTATTTATCCATGATCGTTTTTTTTCTTTTCTTGAAATAAAATAGGGGCATTTACATATGTACCACTGAATTCTCATGTATTTACATATCTAGCTCTTCAACTTAATTTTTTGCTTGTATAACATCAAATTCTTTCATATAAATTAAAAAAATACTACTATTTCAACTTTAAATAAATGAAGTACACCTTTCCTTAGTGTCAAAATTTTAGGAATTTTTGTTTTAGATATCTTCTATTTTTATTATTTTCTATTTCTAGTAGTTTCTACTTTTAGAATTATCTTTTGTTGGTAATTCCTATTTCCTTTTTTATAGCATAGGGATTTTTGGCAGATTTTGTGGCTTTCCTAATGTAGTGGTCTTACTCTGCTATTTATCTTGTAATTGAGTCTTAGAAAATTTAGCAGGAGTAATATTTTTTTCTTTTTCAAAATTTATATATTTTCAGTTAAACGATTGAAATCCTAGAGTTCTCGGCGAGGACTGAACTTGCATCAAGCTTCTCGGGGAATACAAAACCTATGTCGATAAATTGAGTGTGAATTCTCTGATCATGCGCCTTCCTTTGAAGCATCATTCGGTTTTTCCATCGTGAAGGAACTCATGATCAAAGCAGTTATTCATGTGCCCCCTTCGAAGTCGTTGTCTTCTTCGTTGAAGCTGTCAAATCCGCTACTCACAATGTTGTTGTCTTCTTTTTTGAAGCCTGTCGTGTCTGCTATAGCTACCTCTCACGTTCGAATAGACTACTTCAAGCTGCTCTCTTTTGAAGTCGTAAGTCATTTTTCGGTCATCAGTTTTTTTCCAACAGGACTTTTTTTCGGCTTTCTCCAACTCTTCTGCTTTCTTCTCCTCTACTCTACCGGTTTCTCACTGACAGGTTCTTTCCCTTCGCATTTTTTTCTCAACCTTTGGCACATTTGAAATCATTGATCAAGAGATGAATGTTATTGATGATATTGTGAGCAGAGATTGATCCTTCTTCTCCCACTTATCTTTTGTACTCTTAGGCACCCAATTAGCTCGCAATCAAAATCGACTCGTGGTTCTCTCATCTTCTGCTCTCGTCTAATGATGTCGTACAACTCAGCGATGACCGGCACCTGAAGAAAGTCTACCGTTCCTACTCATTTAATAATTCTGAAATCACTTCATTCTACCCATGGTGGTGTAAGTATTGCAAAAAATTATGGCATACAAATAAGACATGTTGAAAGCTTCATTGTAAACCTGCTAATCAGAAATCAAAACCCAAATGAGAATGTTAAACCTATCAAGCTACTACTGAGGAAACAAAACAACCTTTTTGCACAATTTACTTCAATCTCCAAAATTGGCATCAACTTAGTCTTTTTTTTTTGTGTGAAGAAGGATAACTCTTTTGATATTGTATTGTTAATTTTAATTTTATTCATTTTTTGGATATTGTTTTTGGCATAACTTTTCATATGACTAGCACTAACTGCGCTCGATTCGGGAGGGAGCATCACGAGGCTGCCGCATCCGTCGTAATATAGAAAGTATTTTCTGAATTCTTTTTGCCTTCCCACCGTTTCATATGTGTGGGAGTGTTCCTTTTTATTTCTTTTCTATTTTTCTCCAATAGGAGTATATAAATTGCTATTTTTTGTGTGTGTGAGAGTTATAGTTCTAGTTGTGATGTCTTCAGATTCTTGTGTGGAGTATTTCTCCCTGTTTTAGGGTTGTATCCGAGGAGGTGATGTTGTTTTGGTTATATCCTACTCCAAGACATCACGAGGCTGCCGCATCCGTCGTAATATAGAAAGTATTTTTTGGATTCTTTTTGCCTTCCCACCGTTATATGTGTGGGAGTGTTCCTTTTTATTTCTTTTCTATTTTTCTCCAATAGGAGTATATAAATTGCTATTTTTTGTGTGTGTGTGAGTTATAGTTCTAGTTGTGATGTCTTCAGATTCTTGTGTGGAGTATTTCTCCCTATTTTAGGGATGTATTCGAGGAGGTGGTGCTGTTTCGGTTATATCCTACTCCAAGATGGTGATTATATCCTTCCCTTCTACCTTCCCCAAATATTCTCCTCATCTCTCCTCAACCGCTGACCTCTCCCTCTATCACCCAACACTTTGCTGACCATTGCGTGCAGTTGTACCTCGCTATCTTGCCTTCCGACCTCTCTCCCAATTCCTCCCAGCCACTCCACTGCCCACTACCAATCACTTACAACCCTTTCTATGTGTTGTCCTTACAGTTCTGCACCTCACCCTTACTGCGACCTGCATGCCTTCCAATCTTCTCTATCCCTTTATCCGACATTCACCACTCATTGAGATACATTTTAGAGGTGTTTGCTTTTGTTGTTTATGCTTTATATTGTTATGTCCGACCACGTTGTATTGTAACCCTATTTTCCTAGTAATAAACATTTTTTTTTCTACTGTTTTTCTACTAATTTCGGTATCATTTGGTATCAGACCTAGCCCAACTCTAGCCCCTTCCTAGGATTTCCTAGCATCCGCCCCTACCCAATTCACCTTCATAAAAAATTTTCATTTCTGATTCTCAAACCTCCACTAAGAATTTAACCTAACCCTAATTAACTCCTTGCTGATTTTGGAAATCAGCAACAACAAATTAAATTTTCTACATCGATAGTGAGTCTCCTATGCCCTCTTTCATCGCCCAATCATAAAACTTAGCCATGCCACCAACAAGATACGTGCCCAGCCTTCCCAGGAGGAGATACGGCATGAGCTCCGTCGCCTTTAACAAAGACTTGCGTAAATTGAAGAGTTAACATGGATGGAGGTTATTTTCGACCCAAATCTGGAGAGTCGAAAAGGAGAAAAAAATGAAGATCTAAATCCCTTCCATGAGGAGACTTTCAGCGGTGAGGAAGACAGGCCACGACGTTTCAAGAACCAGTATCAGTGGAGGCCTAGAGAGGTATATCTAAATCCCTCACAGCCAGAGAGGAGATACCAGTGGGAGGACACAGAGACTACGAAATAAAGGTGGATTTTATCCAAGTTTGAAGGATGCGTGGATTTAGATGCATTCCTTGAGTGGCTGCAAACTTTTGAACGAATCTTCAAGTATAAGTAGGTGCCAGAGGATGGGTGGGTCAAGCTAGCCACCATTAAGTTGAAGAAGAGCACTTCCCTATGATGGGAAAATATGTAGAGACAGAGGAAAACATAAGACAACGAGAAGCTCGCTAAGTACGAGAAGATGAAGAAGACAATACAAAAAAGTATCTTCTACCCCACTATCGCCAGGATATGTTTTTGAAACTCCACTTCAAAGCCCAATTCGATCACTTACAGCTGAAGTGAGAATTGACAGAACCAGAGGAGCATACAGTAGCCAGATATCTTTGGGACTGAATCCCTCCATTAACAACGTGGTGCAGCTCCAACCGTACTGGACACTGGAAGATTTCCAGACACTGGTCTTGAAAGTAGAGAGACAGAAAAAGCACAATCATCCTTTAAGCAATAACCTTCAGGCCAGCAATCACCTATAGTTACCACAACCGACAAAAGCACCCCAGGAGAGGTTAGCAAAACCAGACACAAGAATGATAGTCCGGATCAGAGCGGGGAGAAATAGGAGAAAGGTAGCACCTCCAACATGTACTGGCCAAGAAATGTTTCAAATACCACGATCACGGTCGCATAGCCTTCCAATGTCCCACCAACAGAGTAGTCTCACTTATCGATCAACACTTCGTGGAAGAGATTTGCGATGAAGAGAAAATTGAGGAACAAGTTGAGGTGTATCGGCTTTTTCCAGATGAAGGATATGTGCTCGTGATTCGACGGATCCTGCGGATTGAGGACACTAGGATTTCAAAATGGCTTCGCTACAACATATTCTACACCCACTACACAGTGAACGGAAAAGTATGTATTTGAATCATCGACAGCGGAAGCAACATGAATGTGGCTTTGACACATATGATAGAGAAATTGAGACTTGGGACTCAGAGGCATTCCCAGTCATATTCACTGGCGTGGCTGAAGGAGAATTGGGTCAAAATCGACCGAAAATGCTTAGTAGAGTTTTTTATTAGAGACCAGGTGTGGTGTGACATGGTCCCTATGGATTCTTGACACCGTTTGTTGGAAGATCGTGGTAGTTTGACTAGAGGACTAAGTATGATAGATTCAAGAACTCATATTACTTCATCAAGGATGGAAACTACATTGTTCTACTTTCCTCGGTGGAGCTCGAGATCATAAGAGCTCTTACCAGTAGAGTGGTGATAGCGAGACCAGTTTTAGTGATGACACCGAACGAGAAGACTGAGACACCTTCTCCAGATACATGATAGATACGATCGAGGAAATGTCAGGTCGACATCGTACCATCAGTGCCATCGCCGTAAGGGCCTGACTACTCTCACTGCACACCCAATTGCACTGAATGTGGGTTACTTTTGGAAGATTAAGCAGTATAGGCGTGGTCCATAGCCTCAGGAGGACAAATCAATATGGACATTTATTGCAAGTTAGGGAAGACACTCAGATACCTTGGGAGACAGTGCAGTCGCAAATGAGATCTAGGGGTGGCTGACGATGAAATGAAAGCTTCGACTTATGAACTCGAAGCCCCTCAATCCCCGGAGATTAATGTGGGGCGCTAACAACGCTCTAATGTGTGGTGAACTCATAGCGCGATAGTGGGAGAACTCTTGCGAAGGAGGAAGAGGCGTGAATCAAGCGAGATCACGATAGTTTGTGATCCAGGAGGGAGTATCACGAGGCTGCCACACCCGTCATTATATACATAGTATTATATGGATTCTTCTTGCCTTACTAGCCTTTCATTTGTCTGGGAGTGTTTCTTTTTATTTCTTTCCTATTTTTCTCCAGTGGGAGTCTATAAATTATTGTTTTTTGCATGTGTAAGAGTTCAATACTAGTTGTGTTGTCTTCAGATCCCTATGTGGAGTTTTTTTCTCTGTTCCAGGCTATATCCGAGAAGGTGGTGGTGCTCTGATTGTATCCTACTCCAAGTTGGTGATTGTATCATTTCCTTTTACCTTCCCCAAATCTTCTCCTCCTCTCTCCTCAACAGCCGACCTCTCCCTCCGTTACCCCAACACCTAGCCTGACCATTACACAGTCGTACCTCGCAATCTCACCTTCCTATCTCCTTCCCAATTCCTCCAGCCACCCCACTGCCCACTACCGATCACCTACAACCCTTCCTACTTGTTGTCTTTACAGTTTTGTACCTCCCCCTCACTGCCACTATCATCCCTTCCAATCATCCCTATCCCTCTAACTGACCTCCACCACCCATTGGGATACATTTTAGCGGTTTTTACTTGTGTCGTTTATGTTTTGTGTTATTTTGTCCGGTTGCATTATGTTGTGACCCTATTTCCTTATTAATAAAAGTTTTGTTTCTATTGTTTTTCCTACTAGTTCCGGTATCAATTATTCTTATCCTATAAACCTTGTGCTGACAATAAAAGTGTCCAAATTATCAATGGTTTTCCCTCTGTAATTTCTGAATATAAATTGTCAAACTCACATCATTGTTTTCCCTTCAGGATTGTGCTCTATGTTCCTAATTTATCTTGTAATTTATTTTTCATTAATAAAATTACTTTTGATCACTAGTATCAAGCTAATTTCTACTCTTCTTTTTATAAATTTCAGGAATTGATTATTAGGAGTATGTTTAGCAGTGCTAAGGGAAAGGATGAACTCTATTATTTTGATGATGAAGTTGACATGAATAGACAATGTCAAAGAACTTATTTTATTTTGGTTCATCTCCAAAGACAATTTTATTTTGTTATGGTTGTATATATTAGATCATTCTAATTTTTAGTATTTAAAATTCATGTTTTCTAATTTATCCCAAAATAAAAAAATGTCATCTTTTCCATTTGAATGTTGTCAGTTTGCCAAATATCATCCTGCGTCTTTTCCTCCCCCTTCCCCAAATTTACAAACTAGTTATACTTTTATTCATAGTGATATATGAGGTTCGTGTAGACATCCTACATATTCCGGGGACAAATAGTTTGTGACATTTGCTGATGATTACACAAAGTTATGTTGGGTATATTTAATGAAATAAAAATTAAGTGGAAACTATTTTCAAGATCTTCAACACCATGGTACAAACACAATTTTAAAAAATTATTAGAATATTACTGATTGAGATTAGTCGGGACTTGGGAGTATTTCAAAAATATTTTGGATCAATTTCTTTGGAAAAAATGATAGTTCATCAAAGCTCTTGTGTTGATACCCCATAAAAAATGTTGTGGCTGAAAAAAAAAACACTTATTTGTAGTTGTTCGTGCATTATTATTTACAAATCAGGTGTCAAAATATTTTTGAGTTGAAATTATTTTTACTGCTACATTCTTCAGTTTTAGAATATCCAATAAAGTTTTAAACTTTGAATTATCTTTTGATGTTTTTCATAAAATTTATCCAACAAATTGGCTCTTATTTTCCTTACATTTGAAGATGTTTGGGTGTACTGCATTTGTTTGCATTCATGGTTATAATCAAGAAAAACTTGATCCTCGAGCAAATGTGTGTTTGTTGCTTATGCTCTTACCTAAGAGGGGTATAAATATTTTGATAATATTTCTAAAAAAATATTTACTATCACGGGTCACATTTTTTGAATTACAACCTTTTTTCCACCTTATTCTCAAGTGGGGCAAAACAAATATTTGACTACTAGTTTTTAGTATTCTTCAAATTGAAGATTCACTAATTATATCTCCACAACCTGATCGTTCAACTTAAAAATTCAAGCTATATTATATCAGGAGAATGTGGATCGAGTTTTTTAGACGGTGATGACGATTCAGATCTTCCTGCAGTGTCAATATCATGATTTTCAATCTCATATAACAACTAACAAAGAGGAAATAGGAAAAAAAACTACGACAGTGATACCATTTGATATTGGCTACTCATGACAAAGGACAACTCCATAGAAAGGTTCTATGAATCATTTGGATTGCTCATCTAATCCTAAACCTAAGTCTAGCCCTAATCCTAAATCTAATGATTCGAGTCTCTCCATTACTTCTTGTAAGGGGGTGAGATCTTCCACCCAACATCTATTATCTCATTATTTGTTATTTGAAAACCCCTCGCCTTTTTTTTGGGCTTTTATCTCATATTTTTCTTGTATGGAGATTTGTAATACTATGCACGAAGCTATAAATGTTCCTAAGTTGAAGGAGACTGTCTTCCTGGAGATGAGAGCTTTGAAAAAAATGACATGTAAAAATTGGTTGATATAACTAAAGGGAAGAAAACTATCGAATGCAAATGAGTGTTTGCATTTAAGTATAAGTCCGATGGTTCTCTAGAGTGGTAAAAGTCTCGACTGGTCGCCAAAGGAGTTACTTTGATATATGATATTGATTACTTAGAGACATTCACCTCTGATACAAAACTAAACTTTATAGGAGTTCTTTTATTACTTGCAACTAATCTTGATTGGCCACTATAATAGTTAAATATAAAAAATGCATTTCTCAATGAGGATTTAGAGGAGGAAGAAGTTTACATAGATGCACCTCCAGGATCTAGTGAGAAGTTCAACACAAGAGTGTGTAAACTAAAAAAGTTCTTATACGGGTTGAATTAGTCATCGAGAGCGTGGTTTTGAGATATTTATATTGTTGGTTAGATGTCAAGGGTATACTCAAGGATAAGATGATCATATAATATTCTTCACACATTCAAAAGATGAGAAGATAACCATATTGATTGTGTGTGGGGATGATATACTTCTCATTGGGGATAATGTATATGAAATGAACTGATTAGAGACTTTCCTCTTATCAATTTTTGAGAGTAAAGAATTAAGGTTTTTGAGGCATTTCCTTGAAACGCAGGTTGCTAAATTGAAGAAAGGGATTGTTGTTTCCCAACAAGTGTGTTTTTGATCTTGTAAAGGAAACCAGGATGAGTGGTTGTAGGCCTGTAAACACTCTCATTAATCCCAATAAAACATTGAGAGATGGGAAGGAAGGTTACCCAGTGAATAGAGCTCGATATTAGAGGTTGGTGGGAAAGTTGATATATTTATCACATACACGACTAGATATTGTTTGTTGTAAGTTTGATAAGTCAATTTATGCATCTTCCTATGAGACATATCTTGAAACGATTAATTGGATTCTCAAATACCTAAATAATATGCTAGGCAAGGGCTTACTCTTTCAGAAGACCACACAACACAATATAGAGACATACACTAATGCAGATTGGGCGGGCTCAATTGTTGATAGGAGGTCGACGTCTGGATACTGTACTTATGTCTGAGGAAATCTAGTTACATGGCGAAGTAAGAAACATAATGTGGTGGCAATGAGTATTGCTGGCGCAGGATATTAGACTATGGCTAAAGGAGTATGTGAGGTTCTATGGCTGAAAAGATATCTTGAAGAGTTATGAATTTCGATAAACGTGTAGGTGAAGTTGAACTGTGACAATAAAGTTGCCATCAACATTGCAGAAAATTCATTGCAGCATGGTTGCACGAAACATATGGGGATTGCTAGACAATTCATAAAAAAAAAGATTGATAATGGATCTATTTGCATGTCTTTCACTTCTACAACATAACAAATTACAAATATCTTCACTAAAGGGCTTTTCAAGCATAATTTTGAGTTTCTTGTAAGCAAGTAGGGCGTAATAGATACATATGCTCCAATTTGAGATGGGTGTTGGAATTTTAGGAATTTCTGTTTTAGATATCTTCTATTTTTATTATTTTCTATTTTTAATAGTATTTACTTTTAGAATTATATGTTATTGGTAATTCCTATTTATTTTTTCTAGCATGGGACTTTTGTATTTTCAATTATGGCGGGCTTCTCCTATTATTTATCTTGTAACCGAGTCTTAAGAAATTTAGGAAAAATATTATTTTTCCGCTCTAAGAAATTATATGGTATCAGACCATGCATGTGTAAGCGGACGCATACATAGAAATTGAAGTTTAGGTGTCAGATATATAAATACATAAGAATTAAGTGTTACTTATGTAAATCTTCCCTTTTTTTCATTCTTTATGTTTGAATTATGTTTTGTCTATTTCCCAACAAACATTTACATGTAACTTCTATAGTTTTACAACATTCATGAAATTATGTTCATTTGATGCACCTTTTGCCTTGTAGTTGGAAATTTGAAGGTCCTTCCGATTCCTTCAAAGCTCTTGTAGACATGGCTGCTGTGCATTCATCCTGCAGGCTGTGTGTTCATCTGGCAACCATTATACATGCCAAGGAAGAAGCCATCTCGCCCGGTTTTCAGAACCGGCCATGTAAATGCAGAACCAAGACCGGCACTTTATACCATCTATTTGTGAGGGAGAGAGGCCGTTTCAAGATGGAATCTGTTTTCCTCAGGTACATATTCCACTTTCTCATTTTGGAATTGTTTCATTTTTTAATTTTGTTATTTTCAATTCCTATGTATTTACATATCTGACACCTAAAATTTATTTTTTTACATTTAAACCACCCTAATCTTTCGTATCTCATCCAAAACATCACTGTTTTAACTTTTTAATAGTGAAATATACCTTTCTATGCATAGGTACGGTGGCATGTATGTAAAAATTGAAGATTAGGTGTTAGATATGTAAATGCATTGCAATTTAGTGGCATGTATGTAAATCTTCTTTTTGTTATTTTGTTCAGCGGTAAATTTTAGGAAATCTATGCACATACCACACAACTCTTAGGTATTTGAATATCTAACACCAGAATTTACATATCAAGTTTATGCACTTCGGTGTCATAAATCTATGCAAGAAAATGCTTATTTCAATTTTGAAAAGTAATAGAGATAAAAAATGTGTGATACCTGCATAAATCTGAAAGTTTACATACATTCATACATTCATACATACATACATACATACATACATACATACATACATACATACATACATACATACATACATACATACATACATACATACATACATACATACATACATACATACATACATACATACATACATACATACATACATACATACATACATACATACATACATATATATATATATGCCCCGCGTACTCAGATCAGTTGGTCGGGCATTTGCTTGTTAGTTATAAGTTCCTTCTGGTCTGGGGTTCGATTCCCCCCGGTGGAGGGTGTGGTACTCGAATTGTTAGGTGCATCGGGAATACATACATACCGCCCTACCTATGCATGAAAAAATATATTTCATTTTCAAAAATAAAAAAAATACTAGTATAAATGTGAAAAGCAAAGTCTGATTCCCCCGGTGGAGAGTGTGATACTCGAATTGTAGGTGCATTGGGAATACATACATTCCGCCCTATCTATGCATGAAAAAATATATTTCATTTTTAAAAATAAAAAAAAAATACTAGTATAAATGTGAAAAGCAAAGTCTGGATGTTAGATATGTAAATATATTGAAAATTGGGTGGCAGATATGTAAATGAAAATCATTTATTTTAATTTTTGGTGAATTTGGCAGTTCTCGTTATTTAACCTTAGAAGGAATAGAGTTTGCTGTGCTGAAGAAGTTCAGGTCAATAAATCACATACCGGTATGGAAGAGCGAGCGGCCAAAGAGCATAAGAGGAGGAGATGAGCTGAGAGTGTACAGAATATACCCTATTGGTCTCACTCAAAGACAGGCTCTCTACACCTTCAGGTTTGAAAATGACTCTGCACTGCAAAATTACATTGACAATCACCCTTGCACTAAGTTTGAAGTTATTTTTGTATGATCATTTTCTATAATAATAATAATTAGTAGAGAAATTTACATATATACCACATAATTCTTATGTATTTACATTTCTCACACCTAAACTTTTAACATTTACAACCCTTGCGTGTCATAAACTTATGCATGAAAAGATGTACTTCGCTCTTAGAGCGCGTTTGGCTGCGCGTAGGACCTGGTGAAGTAGGATTTAGTAAATCTGGATTTATAAAATCTAGTGTTGTTAAATCGAAGAAGATGCTTGATATGATTTAACTTGAATCCATCTCGTATGTTTTGGATTTTAGCAGGATTTAACCCATTGCTATTTCAACTCTCCTTGAATTTAAATATTTGAGAGCTGTGTATGTAAATATGAAAATTTAGGTGTTTTCTGTGTAAATAAATAAAATTTGTGTGGTATGCATGTAAATACCGCTAATAATAGTAATAGATGGCATTTACATGCATGCCACCTAATTATTATGTATTTACATATCTAGCATCTAAATTTTGTTTTTTTTTTGATATCTCGCTTAAAAAATATCATTATGATAAGTTCTAGAAGGCGAAGTGCACATTTTCATGCATAAGGTGGCACGAATGTAAAAATCGAAGTTTAGTTATTCGGTATTTAAATACATAGAAATTGAGTGGTATGCATGTAAATGTTTATAAAAATTATGGCTATTATTTGAGTACAAGTATCGTGGTGAATTTAAATTTAATGTAGATGAGTTGAGAACTCAAGAATTTGACATCAATTTTGAAGATGTACATCAACTAAACTAGTTGACATTTGACCTGAATTGAGTTGAAATTGAGCGGGGTCTAGTGTTAATTTGCTTGGCTTGTTAAGAGAAGAGTTTTTGTCTTTTCATTTCTGTTGTGTTGCCTTCTTCATTTATTGAGCTGAACAATATATATATATATATATATATATATATATATATGTTATATTATCAAGTCAATTATGAACGAATTCTTTATAGCTGGCACAAATACTTGTAAATTTTTTCTTCACCAAGCTTTTACTATGTGCTAGAATGCCAAGCTCCCTTACTCTAATCTTGGGAAAAAATTTGCGTACATCAAGGGGTACGCAGAGATGCGTACATAATATGGTACACGGGGTTTATATGAGGATTACAAGGGGGTTATAACCTGTTGTACCTCTGGTGTAACCCCGCTGTAACCTTGTAATCTCAATGGATAAAATAAAAGCGCGGGTTACAGTTGAGTTACACGGGAGGTACAACGGGTTATAACCCCCATGTAACCCCCATATAACGCCCGTGTATCCTATTATATACGCATCTCTGCGTACCCTTGGCGTACGTAAATTTTTTCCCTAATCTTGGGTTGTGATGGATAATACCATGTGTTTAAAAATTGGATCGGATTGACCGGTTCGACTGTGAACTAGTCATTCAATCAATTCAATTCAAGTTCCGAACTATTTCTGCGTAGAACAAGATTCCAGTCATAATGGGGTTGAATCGAGATAATTTTTGAAAAATCAGCCAGGTCAAATAGTATTCAATTTTTTGTCTTTTTATTTTGATTGGATCATTAAAAATTAGATATTTAAATTTAAATTATAGAATATAATTTCTTAAATTATTTATTTAAAATATTTTTCAAAATATTCAAAAGAAGAATTTTAATTTAAAATATTATTTGTTGAATTAATAAAATATGATATTAAAATAGTATTATTTTATTATTTAAATTATATCAAAATATTTTAAAATTTTATTATGTCAATTGTCAACTGGTTTATCTTTTGGTTCAATTCTGATTGAACTATTGAACCTCGAAACTTTTTCTGATTCTATATTTTGGTGTTTCACAATCTTGAGATATATCATATTAAATCCTCTTTTAAGAAAAAAAAAATGGAAATTTACATTTAGACCACAAAAATCTTATGTATTTACGTATTTAGATCTTAAAGTCTGATATATACTTTTAGGATACCTTGATATTAATACATATGTATGAAAATGTGTATTTGAATAATTTTGAAGGTTAGTAATACTGTAATAGTGATATTTTAATATAATCTCAAAGGTTTGAGTGGCATGTATGTAAATATGAGTTGCGTGAGGTATGTGAATATATAAGAATTGTGTGATATGTATAATTAGCAGGGATGAATTGAACATTCATTATAAAAATTGAGTTTTTATTAATAAATTTAATATGTCCATATTCTTTATGGTCATTTTTTTTAAATTAGATTTGTTAAGTGTAGAATATTTACGATAATATATGGTATATACTGTCTTAATTTTAAAGGAATAACTAGTTGTCATGCATATATATATATATATATATATATATATATATGTGTGTGTGTGTGTGTGTGTGTGCCTTTTTGATACACCCTTTTTT